TGTTAATGGGCCTAATCCTGTTTAATGATTTAAGTCATCTGGGTGTCCCATCACTAATCAGGGGCATCCCAGTAATTTCTTGTACCTTGTACTATATTCATCTATAAATAAAGAACTGGTCGACTGGCTAGGACAGTTCGACATTTTCAGCATCTCTTCTTCTTCTCCTCTTCTCTGCTACTTCAACTACAGTGGTTCAGCTGTCACTATCAACTCCTCCTTTTCCAGCACCAGAAGCAGACACATCATCACTTGTAGTTCCATGGATAGGATCCTCTCTAATAGAACATTATTAGCCCACGTGGGTGGTGGACCATGAAAATCGTAACAATAATAGTTCACTATGTGGCCCTCTTGTCCATGGTGACTTTATTTGCGCACTGAGCCACGCCCATCAATACCTCTACCTCTGGCACTTCCATGTCTATCTCGGGTTTAGACCTGTTCATGAGTCAGGATAGGCTTTGCCTCTTTATTAACAGAATGTGCTTAGGCCAAGCTCATGCCCAACCCAACCATCAGGCCTAGATCTTGAGCCAGAGCTCGACCCTCGTATAAAGCCCGAACCCCAGGCCTAGAAACTGGGTTTGGACAAGAAGATTTTTTTACTTAACAATAGAACTGGTTTATTTATATTAAATGGCCTTAGAACCCAAAAATATTGAAAGCCACTATGGATTGGGAATTGAGAAGAGGAACAAAGAAAAAAATATGTTGTATATTATTAATATATTTTTTATTATATATTATTATCAAGCCAAGCTTTTTTGAGAAGGACTAAATCCCAACTTGAAAAAAGTCGGGCCTAGTGTTTTGGGCCGAAGCCTGACCCCATGGGACTAAAATCATGTCCAAGCCCAACAAAGAATGGGCCGGGCCGGACTGGCCCATTGAGCTACCCGTCTCATGAACAGGTCTACTCGGGTTCCATGATCACCACCTCTAATACCAATACCCCTACTACATACACCTCTATGATTCTACTGCTTCTAGATGTAGTCAAAGCTGACTTCTCAAATAGGAGTACTATCAACTTGTGGATCTGAGACTTCCCTAATCCTAGAGAATACTTTTGGCAAAGTAGGAATATAACTATACCCAAACATCCAAGTGTTCTTGTTCTTGTTCTTGTTGTTGGATCTTCAAAAGCAATAGAAAGTGGCTAATATACATTAAGTTCATTCCTTGGGTTCTTCAGGGATGAATAGTACTCTTAAACAATCTTGTCAGTTGGAGAAGAAAGTAATCTTGGTATAGCCGGTAAATTCTGGTCACATTGTCCTAGCCTCAATAGAGTTGCTTCACATGATCCCAAAATTTCCTTGGCAGTGTCCATAACACGAGATTAAAACTAATATAGGTTTCCATGCTGCACCAAAGCAAGGTCATAATTTGCTAATTTGGGCATTCTCTTGTACCCAGTCTTCATACCGGGGAGACCCACTCTCTGGCTTTGGGTCCTTAACATATTTCAACTCCTTAGCAATAAGAAATATCTATACAGATTTGGCCCATGCAACATAGTTTGCACCATTTAACTTGACTTGAGTCATTTGGACATCCATAAATTCTAGGTTCATAACCATCATGGATTTATTTTCTCCACTAGACGGAGCCATTATGTGATAGGTGAATACCACTTTGGCTATAAGGAAAATTCCTTAAAACAGTTTTTTTTTTTTAATGAATAATTTGAGTTTTATTAAGAGACTTTATGCAAAATCTTTACAATCATCCCTTAGAGAGGCATGGGCTGCTGCCTCTCGTACAAAAAGAAAACACATTACAATTGTTCTGGCCAGTCCTTACGCTTTATGTAAAATCTTTACAATCATCCCTTGTCAGTAGGTTGACTAGGGGACCTCATTGGCATTTATGGTAATTCTGTTGAGTTGTGATTGATGTTTATAGTAAATTTCACAATTACTAATTATAGTAATTCTTGGCTTCATATATTTAGTAGAACTAGAGAGTTATAATGTCCATGCTTGAAGAAGTTTCTACTCTTGAAGTCTGAATACAAGTAGGAGTTGAGTTGCTATTTTGGATCAACAGGTCTTGTAGAAAATACAACCTATTCTACTCTACTGTTTTCTCCCTACTATGGAGTATGGGCTGAATAAAGAAATTCTTTTTGTATTTCTAGTTTTCTACCATAGCCAGCAGCTATAATAGAAGTTATTCTTACTTCCTCTTCTATCTTGGACCAACAGGTCTTGTAGAAAATACAACCTATTCTATTCTATTCTATTCTATTGTCTTCTCTCTACTAAGGGCTGAATAAAGAATTCTTTTTCTATTTCTACCATAGGTAGCAGCTATAATAGAAGTTATTCTTACTTCCTCTTCCAATTTCTCTTCTTTATTTGCTTGTTAATACTTGTGGCCAAAGTTGAATCTTAGAAAATTTCCACCTCAGTTAGTGCACTACGATGCATGTTTCCATGATGTGTCTTCTTCACATCAAGAAAGAAATATAACCAATTTGGTGGGAGCCTCATGCACTGGGATCCTCTCATTTTTAATTTGCAAAGAATAATTTTATTTGCCTTTTTACTGGCTTCCATTTTTCAAACATCCAAATCTGGCACGTTCTGTAACTATGGATGGTGCTTATTCAGGTTGAAAAGGCTTTCAGGGAGGGAACAGCTCGTCAAAATGCACATAGTATATTTGTTTGCCTGACACTAAAATTGCTGGAGGAACGTGTTCATGTTGCGTGCAAAGAAATCATCACTTTAGAAAAGCAGGTACTTACTAATACTTTGCTAGTAATTTAGGAATAAATTTTCTTCCTGTTTTCATCCATTCAATAAAAAGTAAGCTTAATTACTAATTTTCTGAGAGATATCATTGACTACTGTCCATATCTTTCTACAGATCAAGTTGCTTGAGGAAGAAGAGAAAGAAAAACGTGAGGAAGAAGAGCGCAAGGAGAGGAGAAGAACAAAAGAACGAGAGAAAAAGTTGAGGAGAAAAGAGAGGCTAAAAGGAAAAGAAAGGGATAGAGAAAAGAAAGGTGATGAAACAAAGCAAATTCCCACTGTTCCTGAGGCTTCCATTAAAGATTCATCCCCAAGTGTTGATGCCGAACCAAACAAAACTATCATTTCAGAGGATGCAGTGGATGCAGTTAGTGAAACTGGAGATGATATGCTAGGCATGCCTCCTCCAGATGCTCAAGATGAACAACCCTCAAATGGGTCTGCCATTTCTAATGGGCCTAACCTGAAAAATGATAGTGCAAAACACACACACAATGTTGCCGAGGGGGACCTCTGTGCCAAGGATGGGAATGGTTCATTTACAATTGAGCATTCAAAATCTTCTCGCAGGAAACTGAGGTTCAGGAAAGAATTTCAAACTGACCTGGCTTCCAAGTGGTGTGAGAAGCACCGATCTGCAGTTGTCTATGACAGCAGAATTCTTTTTGATGAATCTGAGCGAAAATTTCGTGGTACATATACAGAAAAGCCTTCCAAGTGCATTAATGGAGTTATCAGGCAAAGAGGCAATACTACCAAGTTGAACACCAGAAATTCTGGCCCTAGGCTGGGGGAAAAGTCTCACTGTTTCAACAAGGCACGTGATAGGTATGACTTCCATTCCATCAGCTGTAACCAACATGGTGATTACCGGTCGAAGGACAGTCATCATATTTCTGTTATCAGATCCTGTCAGGAAAGCAAATTTGTGTGCAAGTCAGAATCTGCATCAGATATGCCTAGGCCATTCTTTCGCAACAAGTATAATTATGGATCTTACATGTCTGATAGTTGTGGAAATCCAAAAAGCAAGGTCATGTCAGGCAACATTCCTCCAAGTCGAGATTTGTTCCATATCAAGAAAGTATGGGAGCCATTGGAAGCACGGAAAAAGTATCCCCGAAGCAATTCAGACTCTGATGTGACCTTGAAGTCGTCTACTTTTAGGGTTGATGGATGTGAAGGCAGTAGATGTAATGGAGATGAGATTGGATTGCAGCAGCCTGATAATCTTCTCAAATCAACAGATGAGCTGTATCTTCATCAACTTTCTGGAAATTCAGGAAATGTTGATGATTCGGATAAAGACCAGTGCCACAAGGATAGAAAAAGGAAGGAATCAAGAAATTCCAGCCCAAGTATAGAGGGCTGCCAGAACAGATTTGGTTTGGGATCAAAGGCCCCTTACTGCTCAAAGGATGCTGCTGATGAGGAAGCTGAATTATGTCCTTCCATTGCTTCTTTTTCTAGGAATGGTGCTTCTGATCCTACTATGAGTAGCACTTCCAGTTCAGATAACTTTTCTTCATGTCTTAGTGAAGGGGACAGCAGCACAGCCTCTTCAAGCACTCAAAATGTAGAATCATTGTCAATATCAGATTCAGAGGATGCCAGCCAACATTCCGAAGGGAGAGATGCTTCAACTTGTGGTGGCAATGGTTTTCATAGTTGCCAGGATGTTGGAGCAGATGACCAGCAGAGCATAAATGGAGGGGGATCTTTTACAAGTGGGACAGTTTCTGGGTTCCCAGTGGCAAGCTGTGCCATAGGAAGCAATTTTCCACGGGAACCACCAATAAAATGTTCCCATACTTCTGAAAATGGTAGAGTGACAGTTGATATGGGTTCTCAGCAGCACACTGTGCTTCCACCAATGCCTAATCAAAGCGTACATTTGCCAGTGTTTCCAGCACCTTCAACTATAGGGTACTACCATCAAAATCCAGCTTCTTGGCAATCTGCTCCTGCTAACGGGCTAATGCCATTCCCCCAGCCCAATGGCTACCTTTTTACTAGCCATCTAGGGTATGGTTTATCAGCAAACCAGCCCTCACACTTCTGCATGCAATACAGTGGTCTACACCATTTAAGAACTCCAGTGCTTAATGTGGGCCAGTTTCCAGTCTATCAGCCTGTTAACAGAGCTAATAATGCCATTTCAAAAGAGCAGAACAATAATGCAAAACTAGTTGGATCACAAGAAGCCATTAATGTGGCTGACAAAGTGGTAAATGAACGTCCTCTTGAGACCACATCTCCAAGTGGCCAGAATCCATCACAGACCCTGTTACACAAGGAAGATCGGTGCACTGTGACCTCTAAATTGAATAATGACAATAAAAACTTTTCATTGTTCCATTTCGGTGGGCCAATAGCAGTGGCCACTGGATATGAGTTGAATCCAGTGTCCATGAAAGAGGGAATGGTTGGGAATTTTTCTCCAAACTCACCAGCAGATCCTGCTATGGATGATCATACTTGCACCAAGAAAGAGACAACTGTTGAAGAGTACAACTTATTTGCGGCAAGTAATGGGACAAGGTTTTCATTCTTCTGATTGTTGAGAATTTGAGAGGCTGTTAGAATTCAGTCCCTGGTCCCTTCTTTGGTTATGAATGATTGAGCACTTGTAATTCATTAGATAAGATAATAATCATCTTTGAGAATTCCAATTATAGCTTATATTCTCCTTCAGATGACTGTCATTGCAATTGTTTCTTACTTTTTCTTTTATTTTATTTCCCGTAGGGAGGAAAAGAATTGCGAAAGTGGTATAATGCTTAAGGTTTTCCTGTATGAGAAGGCTTTACTATTAATGAAGTATATGCTGATATTAAATTGGGATGTGCATATGCATTTTGGCTTAGACATCAAATCTATCTACAAATTCTCTTTAAAAACAAATTTTTATATTAAAAGTGTCATGGATTCTTCAGATTTTGCTCGATTAATGGATACTAGACATCAATATGCTTCTTGATTTTGATTACTTGATCCCTAGTAGTGCTGTCAATGAGTTGGAGTCCCGAATGATTGAAAAACACCAGGACTCGGTTCTGAATCTTCTGATCTGACCCTCGGGGTGGGTCTGTAAGTAATAACCCGGAACTGATAGGGTGATTCGACAACACCCAACTGATAGGCCTTTGGCTGCTAATTCTCTTGGATTCTCTTCTCAAAATATCTCATTTATTCCTAAAAACACCAAAAGTTTTAGACATGCTATATGAAATTATTATACACATACAAATGTGTGTATATATAAGTTAGAACAGTTCCATTATATTCAGATATCTGCAAAAGTAGAAAAACAAAATTTCCACTGAATGTTTTCAGGGCCTTCTCAGATTTTTTTTTTTCTTCCAGATTTCAGACTTCAGACCTTAGTTCGTAACCTTTTATTTGTAAATCAAAACTAGGTGTTCTAATACAAATGAAAATAAAATATGTAGAGTGGCATGGGGATGTAGATGAACGATTGGCATGGATCCAAATCCAACTCTAGCTCTAAAATGTGCATCGGTTTAATAGAAAAAGAAAATTGATTTAATATAGTTTTTAAATTAAAGAAAAAAAACTTTTAAGGCACTGTGTTGATGATGGTCTCATTCTTTAATATAAAATGCACTGTTTAATTAAAACCTCCTTGATGTTCTAAGAAATAATAAAACCTCCCTTATCACCTTATGAACGGTGCGATGGGACGAACACAGTTAATAGTTTGTCAAAATTTATTTGCATGTGCCATCATGTGCGACTAAAATTCTCCAAAAATCCGATTTTGCCCCTAATCACTTCATTTGCCTTTATGTTTATAACTTCGTTGGACAAAGAAGTCAAGCCCAGAGGGAATCCCGAGTGAAAGAAGTCACCGACGTATTGAGGGCTAGCGAGCCAATGAGAGACCTGGGATCAACCGACGGTGGCTAAATTGGTAATTTCTCTTTCTGGTTGTAGAGGAAACTTGGGAGTTGGGATCAAACCCCTGGAGTTAGAGGGGAGGGAAGACGAAGTTTGAATTCTATTACAAGACAAAGCAAACTTCGCGCGCCATGGAAAGCTCCATTTGCTTCAATCCTTATGTGATATACATTATGAGATGGAGGGCAAGTAATGGTACTTCAAAAAAAAGAAAAAAATCTGTGTATGAGTACAGTAATGATGGAGTTATATGCCCGACCAACAAACGTGAACAAATGAATTTTGTGAACCGCCTTGGTTGGGAAGTCGTATTTTAAGCAAATTGTTGAACTAAGTGATTTATTGCTTTGTTATATTCAACGGTGTAATAAATTAATAATGAATCCAACTTTAGCTACATGTCATAGACCTAGTCTCTTTTAGCATCTCATGCGGCACTTGATCTTTAATCCATTGTTCCACAAGTTAGTCTTTTCTGTTTAGAGTATTCTTCTGACTCTTAGGATTAAGTAGTTCATCAATTCACTTCTCACACTAAGGCACATACTTAGGCAATAACACTTTAATGCTTAATAAATGCAAATGAGGGAGGGAGTTTCCTTTTATAGGCATTTCTACCTCCTTACATGATTTCTCTAAAGCATAAATGTTCTACACTTATCTTAGTTCCCTTAGGTACATGTATGTACAAGAAAGCTCTAGAATAGTGTACAAGTACCTAGTGTTCAAGAATCCTCACGAGTTTTCTAAAATGCTTTTGGAATATCTTTGAACCCTCTTAAAGTGTTTTGGAGCTTCAGGAAACTTCTTGGACATTCTTGAAACCTCTTCCGTCAGCCTTTTTCACTGTAGGGTCAGGTTACATAGCTTCAACATTGGCACCTAATGACATACAACTATTAAGGTGCTCATAACTTGCTTAAAAATTTGTTCACTAAAAGACAAAGCAATAAGTTTATCATTTTAACTATTTCTACTATTATCAAATGGCCCCCGTAACTGCATTTGTTTCTAATGTAAATACATTTTTGCACTCATGGAATTAATGGTAATGATTCAATGAGAGTAGGGGTGTCAATGGACCGGTTTTGGGTTGGACTCCGTCCAAATCAAAATCCATTTGGATGGACCAATATGACATTAAATTTGGATGGACTGGACGGACCAATATGACATATTGGATTGGACCTGGTCCGTCCACAATGAATTTATATTGGATTGAGTCAATATGTGGGCCATTGATATAAAATAAGAACATAGGTGTCAATGTACTAGGTTTGAGTTGAAACCAATATAAACTAACATGAATTTGAACAGATTGGACAGTCTTTGGACCGGTCCAAAATGGTCTAAAATATTCATTGGACTGGATTGGACCAGGTCCATTTGTAATGGATTCACATTGGACTGGACTGGATTGGACCAAATCCAACCCAATTGACACCCCTAGATGAGAGTGTAAAATGTGGACTGTCCATTGTGTCCATTTACACTATTTGTTTGGTTCCATCCACATAACTAGAGGTTGCAAATATTTACTGTTTGATTAACACACTTCCTACGACTGCAATGTTGGATTCACCCAGGACGTAGATTGCTTGGCTCAACTGAGCTTCTCTCCATAACTGCTTTTGTCCATAGACGAGGTCGCTACAAGGTTGTGATTCTACCCAATGATCTTGATCAGATTCCGGCATCATTAATGATTCAAGCCCGATAGATCATCAAGCAAGGGCAATGAAACCCTGGATTACTGATTGACCAAGAATAAATCAAAACCCCAATAATTTGAAATCCTAAGACCTCTAGAGAAAATTAAATTTAGATTCTCTCTCTCACTTCTCGCTCTCTTTCTAATCTATACTATTAATAAAAGAGCGAATAGTTCCATTTTCTGGACTTTTCATTAGATACTTTTATCCCTTATCTAAGCAACATACAACAGATATTAAAAAGGGCATATATGTCTTTTACTCTCACTCCAAAAACTGCCCACTTATAATTGTTAAAAAACTGTCCATGAATTGTATATAGTTTTGTCTTGGAGATACTATCATGTGCAAATGCACGTACATGTTTACTAATTCCTTAAAATGGTTGAAAGAAAAAAAAAAAACCGCATTGGGAGAGAGGGGAGAAGAAAATCACAAAAGCAAGTCAGGGCCAAGATAGTGAATGCTTGTCTCTCATTCCACTTCCACTTCGGTGACTCCAACAACGGAGGAAGGTAGACACAATGGTTGTTGTATCACCTCTGGTGAGAAGCAGAAAAACAAGAGGAAAGAGTTTTACATCAAAAAAATTGGTGTTAACATTACATGACTGTTGAAATAAAAAAGAAAATATATTAAGAAGAGTTTTACATCTATTTATGATGTATAAATACACCACTACAAAACATAAGGAAGACAAAGCGGGAAAAAATCTATGATGCAGAAAAAGATATGAAAAAAGTTTTGATCAATCAAAACCCACTCATGAATTTTAATAAATAATACTATGTTCACTATCACATTTACGATTCTGATTTATTGGTCAGTTATTTTTCGGATATCATATCTTTTCCATATGAATCAACAAAGCGGAATGCAATTTACACTGACCCGGTGTTTACATTGCAAACAAACGTGACCTATGTCTCGTACAAGAAAAAGTTGTTGAATGTAACATGTATGTTAAACAGTTGAAGCATAGATATTGACATTCAACATAGCATTGACACGCCAAATATGTATGCCTTGTGGGTTGGAATTCAACTATTGTTTAGTTTTGGCTCGTCTGTCGCCATTCAATATTTGTGTTTTATTGGAATAAAGCAACTACTTTTTACTAGTTTAGTTTCAATAACATCCTCCATATCATGTCAGAGTATTTTAACAACTGATCAAGTGGTCGATCCGTTTCTTCCCTTGGATTGTGGTTTCATGGTTCAAAATTTTGGGTCAAACGGGCTATCTCTCTCTCTCCGTAGTTTGCATGTAGCATATGAATGTTATATTTAGTTTTAATTTGCATTTCTATTTTAGTTTTAATTTTTTGTTTATAAGTTAAAAATTAAATATTGAGATCCGAGGCCAAAGGGGCTTTTAATTTTTTTTTGGGCAAAAAATAATGCAGAGGCCCAATGCAGATTTCTGATTTCCACTATAGAGTTATAAACATTCAAAATGTCAAAAACCCCTACTCTATACATCAATGCCCGCCCATGAATTGGCATCAATTCTGAGCTGGCACCCACCCCAACTGTACTTTGGACCTAAAAATTTTGACCCTGGGTTGAACCGTCATTCTCCCAAAATAATGGGCCAAGTTTGATGCATTAAACCACATAGATTGCAAAAATTTACACGTTATAAAGAAAGATAACCCCAATATGATCATGGAATGCAAAGTTATGGCCTTTGTTTAAGGATACTAGTACATATAATTTTATCTCACCTTATTTCATGTTATGTCTTATCGAGCCATTCAGTTTGCATTATTAACTTAAGGGAAAATTCCCATTTAGTAACCTGTACTTTGGATTTAGTGTCATTTTGGTTTTTGAACTTAAAAAATGCGATAATTCAGTAGTCGAACTTTTAAAATGTGTCAATCCAATACCTACCTTTAACTAACTCTTAACTAGTTGCTAAGTAGCATTTGAAAAAGACACAAATACCCTTCAGGTTTCATCTAATTTTCTTTATAAATCATCCAAACATTGATAAAAAATTAACAATTCCAAATCATTGCCTCTTATATTAAAAAAAGTTGGGGTCATCAGAATGCCTACTGAGATATGACCCCAACTTCTTTAGATAAAAAAAGTAATAATTTGAGATTGTTAATTTTTTGTTAACGTTTGCATGGTTTATAAAGAAAATTAGATGACACTCAAAAGGCATTTGTGTCTTTTTCAAATGCTACTTAACAATTAATTAACGATAGGTACTAAATTGACATGTTTTAAGGTTTTTCGTATTTTAAAATTTGGAAACCAAAATAAATGGTACTGATCGAAAATTTTCCCATTGGAAAATATTGGCCTGGATTCTCTAACATTAGGCATTTCGTTTTCGTAGTAATAAGCATCAAGCCGAGGTGACAACCCTTTAAACCTAAATCTCGAGCAATATTCCAATTCTAACATTAAATAGCGTTGTATGTGGGAAGCTGAACAAAAAAATCCATGTCATCCAAGCAGCCAGATGACACTTCTCAGCCAATTTTCAAAATTATATCCTTGTGTCAAATTTTGACAGAAATACATATAAATTTAATTTGCAAGTTGCAACCCGTGGCATGAAGAACAGCCGGAGTAATGAATGGGTCATGGTCGATCGGTCTGACCGGCTGGGGTTGACGGTGGATTGAAAACTTTGCCCCGACAGGCGACAGGCCTGTGCCTACGGACCGGACCTCTTTGGCGGGTTTTAATTCACTTCATAAAGCCCCAAAAATTCCGTTTCCCGCCTTCGAGGTTCCCTTCAAACTCCTAAACCCAATATTGATTCTATCTCCCTCCCTTGAGAGTTGAGTCCCGACATGTATCTATGACACACATATTATAAGGAAAATTTTCGATTAATATTCCTGTACTTTAGGTTTAGTGCGACTATAGTTAAATGTCAATCTATTACCTGACATTTGGAAAAGATATAAATATCTTTTAATTATCATCTAATTTTTTTTATTAATTATTTAAATATTGATAAAAAATTACTAATTCCAAATCCTTGCATTTTTATATTCAATAAAATTAGGGTCTGAAATTATCGCATTTTTAAGTTTAGGAACTAAACTGGCACTGTCTCCAGAAACATAATTATCGGGAGTTTTTCCTTTTTGTTTAAGCCCTCGTATCATTGTAATTCACTGGTCACTTAAAGCCTTCTCTGGCTTTCTGCAAGACTTTTTTATATTACCCAATCGCCGGCGTCGGTGCCATCGACGCCGGAAATAAAGACTATGCAAGTCAGGCCAAGTCGACTAGCGGAGCTTCATTAGTAAATCTTTAGAGAGCTGAAATTTGCGAAGGATGGGGAAGCGAGTGCTTCAAAATCCTCTTCTACAAAAAAGGGGAAGAAAGCTGCGAAAGAAGGTTTTAGTGAGCCGTTTATACGGGAAACCAGTTCCGCTAGAAGAAGCGCGGGAACGGTGGCCAGAGAGATACGACAATAAGGTTCGACTAAGAATTCTATTTTATCTGTCTGTATTTCCAGTTTCTTATTGCCATTTTCCTTAAAAACTTCCTTTTCTGGTAATATTTGTCTGTATCTCCTCTGAATTTCGCGGTTTCTTATCGTGACTTTTTCTTGATTCGAAGCTTTTATTGTTTTATTTTATTTTTTCAGAAAACAGAGAAGAAGAACGGTCGGTCTGGAAGCTCTAAAAAGTAGTTCTATATTGTGTTTTTTTACTCGATACTCGGTAATCAGCTATATTTGGTATTTTTTTCATCTCTTACTTGTTTCCAATATATGATTTGGTTATTCAGAGACGACAGTGATGAGGAGGTACTACTTGCCCGCTGCCATTACACACAAGCAGAGGTCGACGGCTGCATTTTCAATCTGAATGATTATGCTTGTGTTAAAGTGAGGTTTTGTTTCTTGTACCTTTTCGTTTGCGAAGATATAGACAATGCCGAGGCTTATTTAATATGTGAGGGATTCAAAACACAGGCAAATTTGATGAATACAACAGAAAAAATTCCGGTGTTTGGGCCTGAAATTCATGGCATTATATGTTTAGCGAGGAAAAATGATACGCACTAATCTTTCAATTTATTTAATACTGTGTTTTCAGGGGGAACCCGGGAAACCTAATTACATAGGGAAGATCGTTGAACTGTTTGAGACCACTGATGGAGAGCCATATTTTACGGCTCAGTGGTTTTTCAAAGCTGAAGACACGGTAAATTGAATAATATTCATTATGCTGTACTGTATCTGCTCTGTTGCGTCAGTGACAATCCCGTGATCTCTTGGATGATTTTAGGTCATTGGAGATGGCCAGTCTGCATAAAGGGGGGTGGTTTATGGGTTAGAGGTTTAAATTTTTCATCATTTTTGAACTTTACCAATCGTTTTTCAAATGTCTCATACTTTATAAAGCTGTTAAATAACTTATTTTTAATCATATTAAAATTGTATTTTTTTTTTTGTTATCAATCAATTTTTAAAAATTTATTTAAATTTTATAATGTATTCATGATTATATATTATAAATACATGTGTTAAAAGTTAAAACCACCTTTTCAATACTCCGTGTTTTTTCATGCTTTGAGCATTGCTCCGAGCCATACTGGTTATGTTACCCCACGCTTATATGGGAAATGTAAAACCAGAACCGTGAAAACAACCGATAGAGCTTTGACGATACTAATTGGTTTGTTGGTTCAAAGACAGATTGATCGGCAATTCAGCTGTTATCAAAACCCAGCAAAAGAAAAGAGTTGGTAAAAGTAAGCAATTATGCATTATTATTGTTTCAAGTAAGTAGTGATCGACAGAAAAAAAACGTGCAAGATCAATTACCGTCGCAGAATATGAATTCCAAACAAACAAACATCTCCCCCTCCACAGAAAAGAAAACATTCAAAGGACAAACCAAGCATTTTTAACATGTATATTAACAGACTCAGACTGAACAGAGAACTCACGTTAATGCAATGATAGATAGACAGATGGATTTAGTGGCGGGGGGTGATATGATTTCATGAGGCTTGCGTTATCTTTGATGCCTCGAGGTCAGCAGCTTTCTTGAGAAAGCTATTGTCATCGTCTTCGATAACCATCTGAATGGGTGAGTCGCCAAGGCCATCGGCGATGGCGAGCATGATCTTCTTCATCTCGGACCTGAATTCATCGCGATCGATGGTTCCATTGCGGTCGCAATCAAACTTCTCAAAGATGGCATCATAGAGCTGGGTGAGATCGTCGGGCTGGGTGGCCACATCGGATCCGTAATGGGTCTCGATGAGTCGGAAGGATTCGAAAGCCTTACGCAGCTCTGACCTGCAGAGGACACCATCGCCGTTGAGGTCTAAGGAGGTGAACCGCTCATCCACGCTCTTATTGAATATGTCCTCCTCGTTCACGAAGGATCGAACAGTGGGTCCATCTATTATCACAATTCCCATCCTTCTCTCTTGTTTTCAAGTTTTAGCACCGAAAGCCCACGGCACCCAGTTGGTTTTACTCTTGTGCCGGAGCGTTTGATTGTTTTTATTATCGGGTGATGCCTTTATCTTTGGAAAATTGAAATTCGACATTCGAGCAGAAATGTCCGTCTTTTAGTGTATGGCCGTGTTGGGAGGGGGGGTGTATTTTAGTCCAATGGAATTCGTGTCGTGGCTTTGTAATTGCAGATTTGCAGGTGTAGCACGAACTTAGTGATTAGTTGCGGTGAGATAGGAAGGGGGGTGTTGGGAAATGGCAATATTGACAGGCTCAACGTTGAAAAGTAGTAGAGTACATTGCCATTGGCATTGATGAAAATCATGAAAGAAAATAGGCGGAGGATTTGGGGGCCATTAATTAATTGTCTTGGATTTGTGGTTTCCACTTTTGTGATAAGGAATACACAAGGGGCTGATGAGTGGTGAGCACCTTATTCCAACTTTTAATCTTTTAAGTAGGGGTGTTAATGGTATTTAAAAATGTAATTTTGAATTCGATATTTGATATAATTGAATTAAATTCAGATAATTCGAATATCTAATCGGTTGAATTCGGATATTTTATTTTTACCGAATAATTAATTGGATTCGAATTTGAATATAACCTGATTCGATTTGATAAATATCCGAATTCGACCGATTATTTAATTCTTATATAAAAAATATTATATATAATTTATATATAATAATTAAGTTATATAAATAATTTATATATTTTATATCAATAAAATATTTATTTTATATATTTATTAATTATCTAAAATAATTAATTGATCAAATTCGAATTGAATTGAATATTTGAATATTTAATCGGATTTGAATTTGAATATTAATTTTCAATATCCATCTGATATTAAACCGGATTCGGATATTAGATTTTCTAATCGAATTCAAATTCGAATATTGCCTGATCCACTTCCAATTCGATCTGGGTTGTCAGCTTTGTAGATATATTACCAGAATATTGTCTTTGTGTTTCTTTTTAGAAGTCGAGAATATTGTCTAGTGGAGAGATAAATAGACTATGGTCTATGGGTGCTAAAATAATAATAAATAACAATAACTCAGCGCCTTTGCCCTTTCGAACTATGTTTATAGGAATTATGTTTCTAAATTTGTATTGAAAGTTTCAAGTGAAAAATACATTTTCTCTTTTTTGCCTTTTTGGCTTGAAAGTTTGTTGGTTGTTTGGGTCTCTACCTTTCTTTTGATTTGATTTGATTTTTGTTAGGTCAGAGGAACTAGAATTTTCATTCGGTGAGGGGAAGTGACTTGGTTTAGTTATGGTCATGTATACTTGTGTTATATTTAATGATTTATACAATTTTTTTTTGGTGAGGGGAGAATAATTTTAGGTGGAATGCCAAACTGTTTTACATAATTTTTTCTTGCATTTAACTTGTTTACTAGAGAATAAAAAAATAGTGTACCGAAAGGGTATTTTTATTGAAACTCTTTTTCTTCTTGTTTTTTATTTGGTAATTTAATAGGGAATGTGTTGTCTGGATCCACATGTGAGTATATGGAATTAAGAGTCTTATATTGAAAAAAAAAAAATAAAAGGATGTGTCCAATTGTTCTATGTAAGTCCCATCCATGTGTTCAAGCTCCCCCGTCTTTAACAACTCCTCTCATTACATAATCAGGGGGTAGAGTCAGGAATGGGCCAATTAGGGGGGGG